CTTGCTGGGCCTCATAAGAGGTTCTAACCCACAGAGCTACACCTCTACTGCACTGCTCTTCATTTAAGTTATGAAAACAATCAAAACCTGGCAACTGAAATTCAACATGGAATTTTCCCCCGTGATTTTTAGGGAGTGTTTCTGTAATGCAAATAACGTCTATACACTCGTTTGCGATCACAGTTAACAGTTCACTTTTTTTGTTCAAAACGGAATCCGAGTTCGTGTAAAAACATTTTGAAACTTTTTGTGCGCTATTCATTTTGATGTATGCGGTTACTTCTTACATTATTTACAGGCCTTGATCAACGGACATCATTCCTACTAATTACTAGTCCTCCATCTCCCCTGACTGACCGTGAGCAGCCGGAGTTGTCTTGACAGCTTGGAAGTGATTGACCTGATTTTCCGTGCCTTTCCTCCTGATTCTCTCCTGCCACTTCTTGCGAAAAACCGCCGCCCTCTCTAAATGGTGGAATCTTTCTTAACAAAAACTGACTTGTTATCAGCGGATTCTCCAAGCTTTCTCGCTGTTTTCAGCACGCTCCAGACCTGAGCAGAATCCTTTACAGTCGCCAAAAGGTCTGCAGGTGTTGGCAGCAGCATCCATCGAGCGTATAGCCTCTTGCACGATGTAACATCAATCGATGTGTTGAGTACATTGCTGCAACATTCTACAACAAATGCCTTGTCATCCATCACTCGGTCCTTCGCATTAGATGCGAAACTTTCGGGAATCCCAAACCAAACCAGGTTGGCCTTCCTACGTTCTCTATCAAGTAATTCACATGAGCTTTTGCTAGCGACATCAGATAAATCAGCTCTCTTGTTCTTTACCTCCATTTCTTCAGCATTTTTTAGCTGAGCCTTCACTTCAGTCAGCTCATTGCATATCGAGCTCAATTTGTCACTCAGCGAGCGCACCATCACTCAAAGAGTTTACTACATAATTCAACAATTTCGACTCGTTACCGTGCTCTTCCACCGACTCATCGTTTTTTCGAGCAGCAGGAGTTGGTTTTTCGCAATCACGGCAAAACCAATGAAGTAATTTAGATTTCTGGAGAAATGAGTACTCCTTAGAGCTCACCTTCGAACAGTTGATACAAATGAGATCTTCGCACCGTTCACAGGTGACCGTCTAAACTTCGCTCAGAGAGATCACTTTGCAGTACTTGCAAACTTTCATCTCTACATAGTTGGGCTGATTTGGTCTCATTTTTTTTTAGAGGCCGTAGAAGGCTTTTCGACTATATTTTTTCTGACCAGCCATTAAAAAATGCACAAACTAGACCTCTTGAATGGAAAAGGACGGAGAAAAATACAAAAAAGAGTTGAGTATAGTATAGTTCTCTCGAAAATTTCGACTGGCTGAACAGCTGAGCTGTAGCTGGCGAGGGAAAAGACAGGCACAGGGGTGGGCTGGGGGAATCAAAGGATCGACGCGACAGGCTTTAGAGGGGGAGGGATAGCGGCCAAAGAGGGTGGGGGGGGTATATAGGAAGACGAGGCCTGAGCGTGCTGAAGACACCGTTGTTTTCCGCTTTCAGTTACGGTCCTCTTGTATTTGTAACTTTAACTCATCATATAAATTGGTAACCTTGTTTGATAAATTCTTAATATTGACGGTCACGTTAGCTAGATATTGTTTCTGATAAGTTTTTGAGTCCATTTGTCTGTATTAAATTAGGTCATATAATTCCGCCTCATAAATTCAGTCACCCGTTCGTTTTTAAAATATTATGAATTTTGTATGTGTTTTTTTGTACATTAAAATTGATATTTACTCACTCATAATATGTAATAAAAATTCTTAAACGCTGTATAAGCTTCATTTGGATCATTAACTTTTGTTCCGCGTTAATTTTGCCATTCACCTCAAGGTATTCCTCACACGTTAAGCTTCTTTTTATATGTACATTTTGCAGTAAAAACATAAAGAAATTTAATATGCAGAAGATGAACATGTTAAAACTCTGTCTGCCCTATTTACGAATTAGCTGGGAGAGCTGTCGTTAGGACTCGTACTGAAATCGAATTTATTCGCGCTTTCCGCAATATTGGACATAGAACTAGACAGAAGCAGACGCACATACATTACTACCGTTTTCTGGCTTTTGCACTTGCAAAAAAAAGTAATATTTAAAATTAAACTTTTATTTTGTCCATTTTAGCAACATTTTCAACAAGTGTATTATGCAAAGCTACTTTATTGCAAATGTGTCAGCCATTGAAAATAGGTTTTAAAATCAAGGCCGCGGCGCCTTACGCGGCTACGCCTGGTGCTGCCGTGCTGGTAATTCAAAAGCATCTCATCCAGAGAGTAAGCTGCGTTCATCGAGTGAACATCTCTAGTGTCTATCGCCCTTGATTGCGTAAAGTTAACCGGCAAATAATCATTGATAAATGACCAGGGTCTGGTCTCATCATTAAATAACTTGTGAATGTGATTTTGTTGTTTTTTCCCATTTGCATTTGTCTATACATATTCTGTGAAGTTTTCCAACACGGTGATAATAATTAAACAACTGTCTCCGGACACAAAAAAATCTCCTTGTCCCCATCTCAGTGGCAAGAGAACCACAATAGTAATCTATGATTCCTCAATCCATGATGTCCGCATTAACAAGAGGCGCAATATTATTGCAGTGGAATTCAAACCCTCTGAAAAACAGGAATAAGAAAAACTCCTTTCAACAACCAAGCTCGGGAACTGGGATTGGGAAATCAAATGCTACATACCAACATTGGATCTTATCAACTCGTGCTCAGGTGTCATTGGACTCGTGGGTCTGGATGTCAACCTACATAGAAGAGCTTTTAGATCTACAGAAACAACCCTGCAAAATAGTCAAGATAACAAGACTGCCAAAATTTTCTGGATCACTGAAAGAAGAGTCTGTAGTGATCTTGATAGTATTGTTAGAATAAGATAAGGCTTAGAAATCTTGCTGACTCAATCCTGTACATATTGTCAACCTTAACCCCTTTAATTGTCAGCGACAGGCTATGTGTGTAATAATAGGAACAATAGTCAATATCAGCAAAAAATTATAGTCAACTATAATAAAAAATAATTTTCGAGTGTTTTTATATAATACTTTTAAGCCCCGATAAGAACAATTATGAAATAGAACGCTAGAACAGCAACCATAGCACAATTTTGTATTAAATGATGGCAACATCTCGACAACCTCCCGATTTTCCGGAAGGCCTATTTTGAGCTCCATTCATTCTAGCCCAGACATATTTCAGTTAAAGTTCAGAGAGGCGCGGGTCAGAGAGGCGCTATCCCGGCTCTATGCGCCAGTTTCTGGTCAGAATCGGCAAGGAGGCCGGGCGGTTAAGCAAAAGCAGAATTGAAGCAGTGAGTTGCGAGTTCGAGACCGCAAAATGCTGTGAATGTTCTGCGATGTTAAGAATCGGCGACAGGCCTACGGCCTAATAAACGCTGAAACCGCGATTATTATTATTATATTATTATTATTAAGTGAAGGCCTCTGCCGTGCTTCCCCATAGTAGTACTCTATGTTGTGATCTTATAGGAACTGGGTCTCGCTCATATATCATTCATGAAAGAACTATAACCCTCACGCCTTTTAACTCCGTATTACATTGTCTGACTGGATCTGACCCCAATAAATGAGCCAAATTTGCCTCTTTTTTATATCCACCATACCACCTAAATTTCTCCGGATAAACCCAACCACCTCATTGGTGACCCCATAGTGACAAACACCCGACCTTAACTCCTACCCTGATACAACACCCAATTAAATATCTCCCACTCTCAGAAAAAGCCAAAACATAAATCGAACATCCTTCACCCTAATAAAACAACCATCCTTCATTTCACATACAGGGTGGAGCGCGGTAATTTGCTTATTTGCACTGCATGCTGTGACGGCACTGACGGTCGAAGACAGAGGAGAGTGGACGTGGCTGACTGTGGATGGCGGGAAATTTGTATTCGTCTGGCTCTCAGTTGCCATCATGCAGTGGACACGTGAGGAGAGGTCATTTTGTGTAGAAGCGTATTTTTCAAATGCACACTCGATCACTGCAGTGCAGCGTGCTTCTCGTTCACGATTCGCTGTTCCTTTACGCGGACGTGTTCCTGGACGGCAATCAATTGAAAATTGGGTGAATGCATTCAGAAGTCAGAACAGCAGGGAATGTGTCATGTCTACGAAGGGGACCTTAGAGAATATCTTGCCGAGAGACCTCTGCATTCGGACCGCGTCACTGTGTGGTGCGCCATATCGTGAGTAGGCATCATTGGGCCTTCCTTTTTTCAGGATAACGGTCGTGCCATAACTGTGAACTCCGAACGGTACTTGTCTATGATACAGGATTATTTTCAGCCAGCTCTTGAAGCAATGGAATTAGAGGATACATGGTTCCAACAGGATGGTGCCACTGCACACACAGCAAGGGTTACCATGAATTGTTCGAGGCAAATGTTTCCTGGACGGCTTATCTCTTTGAGGGGTGATGTGACCTGGCCAGCACGGTCACCAGATTTAGCCCCATGCGATTTTATTCTTTGGGGTTACCTGAAGTCTGAGGTGTATATCAAACGCTCCAACACCTTGGAAGACCTAAGGAAGAATATTGAAGCTGAAATTGGCAGAAGACCAGTAGACATGCTTGTCAGAGTTCATGAAAACTTCAGAAAACGTATGCAGCAGTGTGTGGAATGCGAAGGTCGACATTTGCCAGATACACTATTTAAAACCATGTAAGTTATAAATTCCATTACCGTGCAGTATAATTCAAATATAAAATAAATTTTTCTAGTGATCATAATTTTTTTATTTCATTCCCAAATCATCAAATTACCGCGCGCCACCCTGTACTTACTACAACAAACCCCGGACGCCTACCCACCGACACCTTGCAAAGAAGGACCCACTCGAGTGACTCGACGCCGCCGCCACCGCCGCCAACCCCGCCACTGAAAACGCGAACGCTACACATTAGATGCACAACTTAACGCCATGTGGGCAGCACATGTGGCAGTAAAAATCCCTAAGTTCAACGTATTTAATGTAAAGAGGTGGTTCACTCAAGCGGAACACCAGTTCCGGTTAGGACGCATAACGTCTCCTGCTGCAAAATTCTTCTATGTATACACTAATCTGCCAGAAGATGTTCTCAACGGTTTAAGCGAAGAAACAGCATCTGGAGACGATTACGAGAGGATAAAGACTGAATTAATCAACACCTTCAGCGAGTCAAAACCGCAGCTCTTCGACAAACTCATGGCACAACAAGGGAATTACCTCGGTCAAAAACCAACCCTCTGCCTCCGCAAGATGCAAGAGGTGGCAAACCAACTAGGCGTCGGAGAAGATATCGTACGCATCAAATTCTTAAAAGGTGTTCCTGATGACATCAGGCCCATTCTAGTTACCTATTAGGGTAAGTCACTGGAGGAGATGGCACGCGTCGCGGACACATTAATGTCCTATCGACCTACCATCCTACCAGTAAACAATGTCAAGGCCGCTCTTCCATCGCTCCGAGACCTAGTTGAAACCTCTCAAAATACTGATGCCGACCTTGCTTTTGTGAACCACATCCCGGCGCAGCATCAACAAGACTATTCTAACCGGACGAAGAGGAGCGAAAACTTCAATCAGGACAGAAACGCATCGAGAGGACTCCAATACAACAGTGACCTTGAACTCCGCCCTTACAATGGCGGTAACTTCAACCAGGACAGAGGCACATCAAGCGGATTCCAAAACAACATCGGACTGCGCCCATACCATAGCGTAGCGGGCAACGTCAGGTAACCTGTAGAAGTCACATTTTCTTTGGTCCGAGGGCCAAAAATGGCAACCCTTGGTGTTGGCTTAATGGTACTAACCCTTCACTTAATGTCCTCCCTAGCTCTCGTCCCCCTTCTCGCTCTAACTCTTCTCACCGCAGTGCTTCCCCATCTCCTGCTCCTCGAAAGTCACTAAACCATTCCTTCCTTCCATCAGAAAAGTAACTCAGGTGGCCGTTCATACTTCATACTGTCACCCTCGGATCCCCGCCACTTATCTCTGCCACTATCGGTGAAGCTCCCTATACTTTCCTAATTGACACCGGTGCTGCCATTTCCATCCTCCATTATGACCCTAAGTTTGCTTCTATCATTCGCCCTACTGCCGTAACCCTTTCAACTGCTACTGGTACACCCATAAAATGTTATGGCGAACTAGATGCAGAAATAGGACTTCGGTCAGTCCGGACTCCGGAGAAGTTTTCTGTGGTCGTTTGTAATGGCCGATGTGGTTAACGCTATCCTTGGTACCGATTTCCTTGCAAAACGAAGTCAGTTGGTTGATTGCAAAAATAACGTTATCTTGGACCCTGTGACAAATTGTAAAATCCCTCTTAAAACCTCCTCTAAATCCTTGCAAACTTACTCTATCACTGTTACTATCCCTGACCCTCGCGCTCAAGCTCTTCTCTCTAAATATCCTGTTCTCACTTCACCTCTCCAACTCGGCTCTAACTCTACAACTTGTAATATCCAGCATTTCATAGATACTGGAGACTCTTCCCCTAAATACTTCAAAACTCAACCCCTTTCAGGCGCTAAGCTCGCCGCGGCTAAAGCCGAATGGTATTGTCCAACGATCGAATTCGCCCTGCTCTTCTCCCTTGCATCTTGTCCCTACGGACAACGGCCATGATAGGAGACAGTGTTGCCAGGTTTTATCTCGGCGAGAATACCAGATTGCCTAACTCAAAATACCATAAATATACCAGAAATTCTATTGTTCAAAAACAGACTATTACCTCCAAATTTAATGAAATTATTCGTCAAAAATGTTGGTTATAAAAAGAAAAAAATTTATCGTATGTACTTCGGCTAGAATAGATCTTATGTACTTCGCCGATATCTAGCTTGACGATAATTAGCCCAATTGAACACGTTATATTTTTTCCCTCTGTTTGGAACATTTTGGCACTTTTATTTTCCTGTGTTTGATTACAGTGTCACTTTTTTCTTTTTTTATCACAGTGTCGCACTTCTCCCCCTTCGCTCAACATAAGCAAGCCACGGAAACAGCAGGTCATCTTCCTTTTGCTTATTCTCGTACATGCTTGCATATTGCATTTATCTAACATTTCGGGTTTAATCACTTGTTGCGGCTGAGCAGATAGCTTTTGGTCCGAATAACGGACTCCAGTACCTTAATTTAAATTTTATTTCGTTGCTTGTTTTTCACATAGGTGACTTGTGAAAACATTCGCTCCACGAATGCATTGGAGACAGGTCAAAGTAGACAAGTGATGCAGTAGGCAGCCAGTTCTATGAATGGATGATGATTTTCAAGATCAGTGAAATATTGAATGGCAACCCAGAATTCAAGTGGCACTCCAATAAGTTATAAGTGGCACACTAGAATTCTAAACCACCAAACAAAAATGGTGGAGCTTGCAGCGCAGAGATCGGTTCGACAACCACACTCGTCCTAGGCCATATCATCACTGATCAGTAATCAATCAAGGATCATCACTCTCGTGCTTATATTGCACTTAATACTTTTGTTAAATGTTAACAATTAGATTGGGGTTATTTCATCAAGCGGTAAACTTGCGGGTCCAAAAATGGCGGGAAACCTCTAGTCGCGCCGCTCTGGAATTTCCGAGGTGAAACTTAATGCAGTAAATTTGCAATAAGCCATAAAATACCAGATTTAGGCAAATATATCAATATACCAGATCTAAAATATACATACCAGGCACCTTCTGAAAATACCAGATTTGTGAAATTTGCTACAGGAATATACCATCTGGCAACGCTGATTGGAGACCGTGTGGCGACTTTCGCGCACTTAACGCTGTAACAACCGATGACAAATACCCTATACCCCATCTTCGCTCATTAACAATGTCACTCCATAACAAAACTGTCTTCTCCAAACTTGATTTGCAGCGAGCCTACCTCCAAATTCCTGTCGCTCCTCAAGATATCCCTAAAACCGCTGTCTGTACTCCTTTCGGTCTCTTTGAATTCAAGTATATGCTCTTCGGTTTGAAGGGCGCGGGCGCAACTTTCCAGCATTTCATCGACTCTATCTTGTCCGACATGCCTAATGTTTTCTCCTACCTTGATGACATACTGGTTGCATCAGAGACTGACGAACAACAGTCGAAAGACGTTGACGAAGTTCTTTCTCGCCTAGCCACTAACAATCTTTGGCTCTCTATTAATAAGTCCGAGTTCTTCAAAACTTCCCTCATTTTCCTTGGCTATATCATCAGTAAAGATGGAATGGCTCCTTCAGAGAGAGTAGCAGCCATCGCTGACTGTAAACTGCCAACAACTGCCACTGATTTGCGCAGATTCCTCGGCATGATCAATTTTTACCGGAACAATATTCCGAATTTCGCCAATATTGCCTTTCCTGTAACTGAACTTTTGCGACATAACCCTAAATCCTCACAGCTGCCCTGGACAGATGTTGAGCGTGATTCCTTCAATGAAGTGAAGCGATCCCTCACAAAATGTCCTACGCTAGCTTTTCCGTCGCCTGAAACATGTGAATATCATCTCGTCACTGACAGTTCAAATTACGCTGTCGGTGCTGCTCTTTACCAAGTAGGCGCTAATTCTGTCCCTAACCCTATCTCTTTCTTCTCCAAGAAACTGTCTGACGTTCAGAAGACATACTCAACGTATGGCCGTGAACTTCTCGCAGCTTTTCTTGCAGTTCTAAAATTCAGAACTTTAATTGACGGACACACCGTAACCCTTTTCACTGATCACAAACCCTTAGTTTCTGCCTTCTATTCTAAATTTATCGCTAAATCTGACAGACAACAGCGACAATTGTCCTTTCTCTCTGAAAATGTTTCTTCTGTGGAGTACATCCGCGGTAGTAACAATATTTGTCGCTGACGCTCTGTCGCGTCCTGTCTGTGCCATTCAAGCTGACGTTTTCGATCTTCCAGGTATTGCTAAAGCCCAGGTGAATGATCCTCAGCTGACGCAGTACCAGGAACGATTAACCCCTTTTCCTCTTCCTGACAAATCGACCTTGTGGTGTGACACGTCGACTCAATCCCCTCGTCCTTTCGTACCTTCCCCTCTTCGGTCTAATGTCATTGCCTTCCTCCATAACTTGTCTCACCCCGGTTTTAAAAACACGTCGAAATTAGTGAAACATCGCAGCTACTGGCCACAAATGGATGTCGATATTAAGAATTTCGTACGTGTCTGTGAAAATTGTCAACTAGCTAAAGTGTGCCGCCATACACGATCCCCTGTCACCCCAATAACTGCTCCGTCTGATCGTTTCCACACTGTGCATATTGATATTGTTGGACCCTTACCTCCTGCCTTCCTTCCTACCGAAGCTAACCCACTTCCTTACAGATATGTTTTAACGTGTATTGATAGAGTCGCGCGCTGGACTGAAGCCATTCCACTAATTGACACCACCACTCCCTCTATCGCTATTGCCTTCATTAGTGGTTGGATATCGCTATTCAGTGTTCCACTTTCAGTCATAACAGATCGCGGTTCTCAGTTTGAAAGCGAACTTTTCGCGAACTTTTCTTCACTTGTACGACTGCTACAGTACAAGTGAAGAAAAGTACACAGTACAAGTGTTCAGTACAGTACAAGTGTTCTACACAGTACGACTGCTTATCATCCGCAGGCGAACGGTATTGTAGAGCGACATCATCGCTGTTTAAAAGCCGCTATAATGGCTCGCCGTACGAACTGGTTTTATTCACTGCCAATAATTCTTCTCGGGTTCCGTATGACCCCGACCGCGAGCGGTTTCCCACCATTTACTGCCGTTACCGGCACGCACATGCTTTGCCCTCAACCAATTGTAACCGCCGATTCCATTAAACAAACTAATTCCCAAACACTATGGCATATATGTACGCGAATTCGATTCCACGACTTTGCTGCCGGTGAATGCCACTCACTGCCTAAAAGTAACGTCCCTGCAGATCTCCTGACCTCACCAACGGTGTGGTTACGTATCGACCGAGTCCGTAAAAGTTTAGAAGCGCCCTATCAAGGTCCATTTGAAGTGGTTCGACGAGAACCAAAATATTTTATCCTGAAACTGCCACAAGGCGAAACGGCAGTCTCTAACGATAGGCTTAAACCTGTTCATTTACCTCACCCTACACATGTAACTCCTACTATTCCTACAACCCCTTCTCTTCCTCCTACAATCCTTCCTACTCCTATAACCCCTACCACTCTCCTCCCACGAACTATCTATGATCTGCCTTCCAGCGGGTCGCAGCAGCCCTCGGTAAAGGTACCTCCCGTTGTATCATTAACCCCTTCCGCTGACCCACCGCCAGCCGTACCTGCACCTAGACCCACCCGTGCAGGTCGCGTTGTTAGATTTAAACAACACGCAGACCATAAGTATTATTAGATCTT